ACTTAGTTTCATCAACCACACAACCTATAAACAACTTAAGCCAACAACTACTCAACTCATCTTCATCAGGCAACTTAACAACTTTACAAATCAACCAACATATTTAAAGTTCATCTATCTTGCCAACTTACACAATATAAATAGCATAAATCAACTTAAGCACCCAACAACTCAACCATTTCAACAAAAAAACACAATGCATAAAGCTTTCCTAACCTGAATATGGGCTCCGAATAGCCAAGAATTCGGGAATAAGAAAAACTTTCCTCCGAGCTCGACTCCCGAACTTCAATCCTTCAAAATCAAGCTTCTTAATAGACCAGAGTTCTTCTCTCTAAACTTCTTTCCCTTTTTCTTTTCCTTTCTCTCCCTCCTTAAAGCCTATTTATAGAGGTCAAGAGTGGCCATAACGGCCTATTTCGAATTCGGAATGGCCCGTTCTGGGCTCCTTCATCATGTGTAAAATTCACATGCAGAATGACCCGTTCTAAAACCAGAACGGCCCGTTCTGGCACGTCTAGAATGATCCGTTCCCAAACCAGAACGACCCGTTCTAGAGTTGAATTTAACTCACAACAATCACGTTTAGAACGGCTTTTTGACCAAAGTGGGGTCGTTGACCAAGTTATTTACGTAAATGGGGCTGTTTCGAATTTATTTACGCCTTTGGGGCTTTTTACAACGGTTTCCTTATGGGCCATAGCGACACCAATTCCACGTTGCTTTTTTTTTTTTGGCGGACGGATGGCTGGAATGAGCCACAACAGTGTCGCTATAGGCCGGACCAACACAGTTTGTGAGCCAACAAAGCTGGTGTAGCCCATAGCGACACCATTTAAGAAAAAAACGAAAAAAACTGAAATAATTTAAATGTAACCTTAAAATAATCAACTGAGTATACTTATTATATATTTATAAAAAAAATTATTTAAAAACGTAATTTTAAAAAATAGATTTAATTATTTATTTAAGTGGCGCTGTGGCCTATAGCGACACAGAGTCGCTGTGGCCCACAACGCCACTAATTAATTTTTTTTTTTAGTTATTAACTTATTTTGTTTGAAAATTTGTTTAATTTATATTTAGCACTTAAATATTAATTTGTAATTATAAAGTTTATTTTTCTGTAATTTATATTGTTTTTGTATATATATTTTTGTTTTATTTTATACATTTTTATTTTTGTATTTACGTTTTTTAATTCTTTTTTATCACATTTTAATTATTAAAAATTATTTTTAAAAAAATATGTGACGCTGTGTCCTACAGCGCCACTTGATTTCTGTTTTTTTTTAATTATTAAAATAAATTATTTTTTATCACATTTTATTTTATTTACGAATACATAAAAATATGTACTTATAAATATTTACCTATTTCTCATTTTTCTTTATTTTATACATTTTTATTTTTGTATTTACGTTTTTTAATTCTTTTTTATCACATTTTAATTATTAAAAATTATTTTTAAAAAAATATGTGACGCTGTGTCCTACAGCGCCACTTGATTTCTGTTTTTTTTTAATTATTAAAATAAATTATTTTTTATCACATTTTATTTTATTTACGAATACATAAAAATATGTACTTATAAATATTTACCTATTTCTCATTTTTCTTTATTTTATACATTTTTATTTTTGTATTTACGTTTTTTAATTCTTTTTTATCACATTTTAATTATTAAAAATTATTTTTAAAAAAATATGTGACGCTGTGTCCTACAGCGCCACTTGATTTCTGTTTTTTTTAAATTATTAAAATAAATTATTTTTTATCACATTTTATTTTATTTACGAATACATAAAAATATGTACTTATAAATATTTACCTATTTCTCATTTTTCTTTATTTTATACATTTTTATTTTTGCATTTACGTTTTTTAATTCTTTTTTATCACATTTTAATTATTAAAAATTATTTTTTTAAAAATAGTGGCGTTGTGGCCTACAGCGCCTTTATATATCTGAATTTTTTTTAAAAAAAGGGGCGTTGTAGCCTACAGCGTCACTATATTTCTATTTTTTTAAAAAAAATTATTAAATATTTTGTTTTTTTACTACTTTTTAATTATTAAAAATAAATGTTTTTTTATATATGTGTCGCTTTAGGCTACAACAACTTTATTTTAGCTGTTTTGTGGCGCTGTAGGCTGTAGCGACACTATTAATATAGCTTTCATGGTTTTCCTGAAGTGTAAAAAAAGCCACGTGGCATTGGTGTCGCTATGGCCCATAGCGACACCGTTGTAAACAGCCCCAAAGGCGTAAATAGTTTCAAAAGAACCCCATTTAGGTAAATAACTTTCCAAAGTGCCCTACTTTGGTCAAAAAGCCCGTTTAGAACGGCCCGTTCCAGTCTAGGATTTATAGGCCAATTTAGTAGTTTAGAACAGTCCGTTCAAGTTTAGGAACGACCCGTTCTAGACTACTAAATCACCTATCGCCTTCTGAAATACTTATTACGTTACAAAATTTCTCATTCATCTTTTTAGAATAAGATAAATGTACATTTCTCTTAAAGTATTTTTTTAAGAGATTTTTCATAATTTAGATTGAGTTGTCATTTCTTCTTCCTAAATGTTTATTTACCCAAAAACATTGTTATCTATGTTATTGATAGAGAACTATCATGTCAAAAGAGTATTACATAACAAGAGAGATCAAGGTGTGGAGAATGTCACGGCTCTAGTATGAAAATCTTATGTTCCAAAAGATTCATTGCAGAGGCCTTATATCAAATGATTACAAAGCATACATTAAAGTTTTTTTTTTTTTTTTTTCCTTTCTCAATTGAAAGTTACTAATCATTCGAAGTACTTTAAATTATGATCTATTTAAATTGTTTACTTCTTTGGATGAATATTTTTTCATACCCATTATTCAGGTATTATAGCCTATTTACATGAGTGAGAAGATTCTAGAAAGAGTACAAGATTGATGGTCATAATACTTAAAAGAAAAATAAAATGTCTCAAAGTCTATATAAGGTCCAAAATATAGAAATCACTTAAAAGAGCTAATATATAATATTTTCTTATGTATTTTTTTATTAAGTCTGAGAGAATGTTGCGTTTGCTTGCGTATAGGTAGGCCAATGTACTAATAAAAACAATTTTGCAATGAATGTAATTCTTTAGACGTTCATAACTTAGTAATGCGAAAGAGCTACTCTGTGTCTATTTATTTTTTCTTAAAATATTAATTACTTAAAAGAATGTGAAAAATTTATGATGATATACGACAATGAAAGTGGTCCAATGATATACTTGTAAATATGTTAAGACATTTTGTGACAACACCCATCATAGAATATGTTGGTGAAATTTTGACTTCAACCTTTCTATGATAGTTGTTGAATTACCCATCATAGAAAAAAATATACTTTGATGAGTAAGTCAATATCAGTTATAAAATGTGTTGGTCAACTTTTGATTCCAATTTTTTTTTATGAAGGGTGTTGTCTTATCTATTATAGAAAGAAATATTCCATGACAAGTAAATCATTGGTCATAGAATGTGTTGGTCAACTTTTGATTCCAACCTTTCTACGATGGGTGTTGACTTATCCGTCGTAAAAAGAAACATTCTATGACAGGTAAATCATCACCCATCATAAAATGTCTTCTTATTACATATATACACTAAGAGTGTGAACCCAGCTCGCGCTCATTATTTTATCTTCTTCTTCGTTCATGCGATAGAGACGATTCTAACGACAAACATTTGTCAACTGTTGAGGCGATTTCCAATGACACCAACTGACTATCGAGGCCATTTTCAACAAAACCCTTTGTTCGCTCATACTCTTCTCCGATTTGTTTTTGTTCTCATAACCATTTGTTCGTTTTTATTCTCCCAGGTTCATTCTCTTCTCTTTTTCATGCATTTTGAGTATGGTGTTGGTGTTGTTTAATGTTGTTGGTTTAGCGAGAAAGAAAGAGATGCAATGATAGAGAAAGAGCGTGGCAACAAAACGCAACGAGAAAAAAAAATGCGACAAAACATGAAGAGTGGCAAGAGAGAAAAAGTGTGACAACGAAATGCAAAGAGAAACGATAATGAGAACAAAATAACTATGGGACAATGAAATACAAAGAGATATAACATAAGAGAAAGAGCGCAACAGAGAAGCATTTGTTAACCTAAAAAATAAGACTTTTTATATCAACTATTTTTATAACTAACATAGAAAGTTAAGACATTCTATATCAATTATTTTTATAATCGACATAAAAAGTTAATACTTTCTATATTGTCGGAATCTATAATAGGTCCAAAATTGACATAAAAAGTTATTTTTACCTATCATTAAAAGTATCATGCACACTAGTGTGTAGTAATATACACCCTACAGTGACACAATATTTGTCATTAAAAATTATTTTTACCTTTATGTTAGTATATGTTAGTAAATATATTTTCATAATTGTTAAAAGGTTTATGAATAAACTATAATGACACAATATATTTTATTAAATCTCATTTAAAATCAACACTAAAATTATGTGTAAATACATGTCAATAGATTTATGAATACATATACTGTATCTACAATAACATTTTTTATTTCACTTGATGTAACATTTCTTATAGTGATCATAAGTTTCACGGAGTGACTATCATATATAAGTTGTGACTATCATATATAAGTTGTTAGAAGAATGTTAGTGACACAATCTTTAACATTCTTCCTAACATTGCAACTGAAATTTATTAACATTACATATTTTAACAAATCTCACCTCTTAATTAGGAGAGACTCTTTAAATGAGAATTGAGACTCATTAAAATTTGATTTTCAATAAATTTTGGTCACCATTAAAAATATTAAAATAAAACCTATCATAATTTATTATTTTTAATAAATTTTGGTCAATAAAAATAATGTTAAAAAGAAAATATTAATTAGAGAAAATGTTACGATGATTTCTATCTTGTTACTCCCATGTGCTTCATTTGTTGTCGTGAATTCTTATAACTTTGCTGCATTATTACATTATTGCATTGAGAAACTGTACCAAGTAATTTCACTAATTTGTCAAAGATGGCCACAACACTACTTGCAAGTCATTGATGATGATGATGGAGTCTGAAATTGAGTCTCCTAAGCCACACAGAATGCAGTATCATATGAAACACATCGAATCGCTTGGGCGGAGAATGCACCTCAAAGTGTCTCCGAATCTGCCCCACCCTTCTCTGCATTCTTATATACTGCCTCGGAGAAACACTCATCAAAATCTCCTTCAACTTGGGAACGTCCTTCACCGAAAGCTCAACCGAGAACGTCTTCCAATTCAGAACGTCACCGAAGGGAGGAACATAGTGCTCCGAAATCAGCACAGGAACGCACCCTGTGTAGATCGCTTCCACAACTCTCGGACTAGCAACCTCGTACCCGCTGGGACAGAGACAGAACTTGCTCTTCCTCAGCATGCCGTAGTACGAAACATGCTTCGGCAGGTACTTGTGGACCTCAATGTCTTTGTCCTTGTTTTCCCAGTGCTCCAGGAGAACGGGCCTAATGGGCCCGTGGACCCCCCCTGCGAAGAAGGCCAAAACGGGCCTTTTCGATGCTGATGGCCCACCAAGGAAGCCCTTTATCGAACCCGTTTGAAGATTGATCTCCGGAAATGAAACATCCTTTGCTGGCTCGAATCCTTCTGATGTGTTGGCATTGCAAAGCACTCGAATGGAGTTCTTGTGTAGGTGAGGTAAGGACAATGATGTCTCTGGCCCCTAAACATGGTAACAATTAACAACATAAACAAAAACACTAAATTATGAATGAAGAATGCATGGATTATGAAATAGTGGTGTTGAGTGTTGACCCAGTCATGGCATGCAAGCATGAAGTGATCGGCTCCATGGCTTCGGTTCCAATAGGGATATCTATGAGCAATGAGGTTGACATAGTCTGTGACAGTTTTCTTTATGGGGCCAAAGTCGCGCGAGTCCCTTTCATACACGAATCGCACCATCATGACTACGCTAAAAGGAAGGAAGAAGACGTGTGCTTTCTCTGGATCCCTTGTTCGAAAATGGTCATTCATTTCAATAGCATGGATGAAGTTACCCTCCATGGAGTATATGCTTTTGCATGGTCCATTGTGGAAAACTGGAAGCTCCCCTTCTTCGTACACATACACTTTGAACTCTTTCTCCATTTCTAAGTAGCTCCTGTCAGCAATATTAGATAATATATGTTAACATTTAATAAAATCTTTGATATTACACTGACAACACATATATATAAGGGTGTGACCATATTTGCCATTCTCCAATATTCATAGGGATATATAATATTACGATGCATATATTTGTAATTGGTTATTATGAAGAGCAGCGGCAAATTTGACAGAAGACATGTTAGAAGGATATCAAATAGTTGATGGAGAAAATGAAGTGGTGCATTCATGTACCTGTGAAATGCCTTAGCATTCCAATACATTGGACCTATTGGAACGTAATCTGAATCTTGTGTTTGATTCTCGTGTCTGGCTTCTCTGATAGCAGATCGAGCTTGTGCTAGAATAGCTTCAGTTCTATCTAAGATGCTGAACTTTCTCTTTTGCTTGTGTCTTGGTTTGGGTTCATCAGATTCGTTCACAGGAGCTGATGAATTGAACCATGGTTTGGAGACATTGAGAACTTTAGGTTCGTGCTGTTCAAAAATAAGTCATCAACTTTAGGTCAAACTGTCGAATGCTAAGATTTTGATTTAAATGGCAAACTGATAGAATTATTTTTTTTATTTGGAAGAGTTATAATAACAGCAACAAAATTTAAAACCGTGTGTATCTTATCTTAAAACTTATTATTAGATATGGTTAATTGATAGAATTATCTAGCATTTCAACCGGCAATTTTTTCATATACAAAATTTAAAACTATGATAAGAAAAAATAGACAAATGAAATCAATCACTCAATCATTAATTGACCATAGTAATATCAATAACCGATTTCAAGCAGAAATTGATTTTATCCTAGCTTTTAATAGAAACACCCCTTGTGTATTCAATAATGTAATCTTAATGACTGATTTCAAGGGCAGAGCATGCTTATCTTTTGCCCTCAATTCTTTTAGTTTGAGGATAAAACTTCCTAAAATAAATGAAAATACATTCAATTTGGCCGAATAAGGTTATCTTCGTACCCTCCAATTCATATGAACCAAGCCATGTTTAAAAAGTAGAATGGGATAAATTAATATACCACCTCCATTCTTTTTTAAGGATGGATTTTTAAGAGAGAGAAAAAAAAATTATTTGTCATTTTTTAAAGTTTGAAATAAAATTTAATTACTCAATTTTTACTTATTTTTTAAATTATTTTATAAGTTTATTATCAAAATAAAGAGAGTGAAATAAATAATTAGAATTTTATTTTATACATGAGCATAGTTAATTTGGACAGTGTTCCAAAATTGACAACTAAAAATTAGTTTGCACCTATAAGATGTGACTTTCATTGACGAACATAAAGAAATATAAACGGTCAATAAGTTGTTAATTTTAATGGTATTAAACTCAATTATCTTAAATAAGATCTCAAGTTTAAATTTTATGTATAAAAAAATTATTGTCAAGACTCTACTAAAGATAGTCAATCAAACTTCTCAATGGAAATTAATTGTTCGCGAAGTATCTATTCCAATACTGTGGTTACCAAAATAAATAAATAAATAAAAAGCAATCAATATAAGATATATAACTATATTAAAAATTATTTAAATTTTTAATAAAAAATTAATTATGTTTCTTAATGTAGTACCACAATCTTAAACCATAGACAGTGAGGCAGTAGAAAACAATTTATGCGGCATTATCAACGGTTCCAAAAAATTTAGGTTACTCTTATTCAAATGGGAAAAAAAATGTTTTAAAAATTAAGATTTTAATTTGTATGAACTTTTTATACTATCAATCAACAAAAACCACCTCTAAACATTCCTTCATTGTTGATTTTTCTAATCAAAGATTTTTATTCTATTTTATTTTCTAATCAATTATTTTGAAATTAACTACTATAAAAATTAATAAATTTATAATACATAAAATATATAATTAGTTGATATTCTAAAAAATATCATATTGTCAATATATTCTAATATCGATAAAGTATAACTTGATCGATTTAATAAGTGTGTGAATATTTTAATTAAATTTCTTAATATTAACTTTGATTTTCATATATAAAAAAATTATATTCTAATTATTGTGTCAGAAAATATTACTTTAAGCATGAATTCAAAATAATTAATTTTAATGAACAGATAAAGTATAATCATCTAAGATGTAAATACATGTATATATTTTATGAAATTAGAAAATGTTATTTTAAAAATGAATTTAAAATAATTCATTTTAAATTTGAAGATAAAGTAGAATCGTTTCTGTTAAAAAGAGTAAAATCATTTTAATGTGTAAATATATAATTACTTTTTTTTTTAAAAAAAATAATGAGTCTCACGCCATAATTAACTATGCCATAGAAAAAAAAATTGCTTCACAAAAATTAATGACATTTAATAAAATTAATATCTTAATATATACATTTTATTAAATATTTATCATATATAACTCACATTCATAATATATATATATATGTATATATATGAATAAATTCTATATTTATATATATATATATTTATA